TTTTGCGAGCCATGGAATACCGTACTTCTATAACACTGGTAAGTAGACTTACCAAGCTCATTAGTTATCTTCATAACATCCGATCAGACCTTAAACGGGGCCAATAAACAGCGAAATAAGGCAATACGATATTTATAATTCTTTTTGAGCAAAGATTATTCTTTGATTTCTAAAACAGAAGCCGCTTCCTGGTGATAATAATCACGGCCACATTTTTTGCTAGCAATGGAATACTGTACTTTTATAAAACTGGCAAGTAGACTTACAAAGTTAAGTACTTATTTTTATATATATTATTAAATATATCCCATACGAACTTATACAGGGCCGATAAACAGCGAAACAATGCAATATCGATATTAATAATTCTTTTTGAGCAAACATTGTTCTTTGATATTTCAAACAGAATCCGCTTCCGGGTGATAATAATTCATGAGTAAACAGTGGAATTTGTAGCTCTATAAAGCGACCCCAGACTAAAAGTTACCGACACATGTCTTCCAATCACTTGATGGCCATTGGTATACCCGTCGATTATTAACACGACAGGAGTCATCGTTGGTGCAGAAGACGTTTGCTCCTGGTTTGATTGCCCCTGTTCCTTTTCAGGAGTCCCCCAATATCTTAACACTTAAATGATTCGATATATATTTTATGTACTATTAAACATAATGAATAAAGATCACTTCAGGTACTTCGATATCATAGTTTAAAACAAATACCATCAACAGCTATACCTTTCATTTCTAAGATTTTTACTGATGTTAGTAATTGTCGTTAATGTCAAACTTGACGGAACAGTCGCTAGCCATTAAAAGAGAGTATACATAGAATTACATAAAACTAGGTGTATTTAATTTTACTGCATTTCATTTAATCACAGTATATAGAATACAATCTCACATATTCTATACTTGAAGTACTGACGGATGGTTTGAAATACAAGTCAGAAAATGATGGAAATGGATTATACAAAGTCAATGAGATTCGCCAGAACCAATCGAGCGGATCGAATATATGCAAACAGCAGTATTCGGAGCTCATCAAGATCACATCTCCGTCTCAGATGCTATTCCTCCAGGGAGTCATATCCAGTAACACCATATTGTGTAAGAATGTATATTTAAACATGTCAGAATTACACAGTATTTAGTATTTTCATATTTATTTGGAAAGAGATAAGCTGACTGGTTGAATAAATGTCATTTTACTGAATTCAATCTTTTTTTTTTTTTTTTTCTTTTTTTTTTGTTTTTTTTTTTTTTTTTTTGGGGGGGGGTGGGGTGGGGGGCATTTCATTATTATAGTTATTTCTTTGTTTTATTTGTAAGCCATTTCGCTAACTCCAATAATGCTTTCCGATTTTCATTCTATTGTTAAACAACCCAAGTTTCAGAAAGATGCAAAGTCGTTATTTTGAACCACCTGAACTGTGAAAGGAGTTATTGTGTAACACAGTTATAGAATAATGAAGATTTAGAACTTATGACCATTTATAACTTATTCGTGCTCTCTAATTTATTTGTTTAATAGATTAAAAAGTTTTATATACAATGGCTTGCTCCAAACCATTATTATTTTCATTTTAATTCATATTCCTCCTTCGCATTAACCACTGGTAATTTCTATGTTAAATCAAGCAAACAGCCCAAACTGCAATATGCTTTCCAACTAAAATGCAGCATACATAATAGGGTTTTCATTTTTTATTTCGCCGTTGATTTACAATTATCTCTACAATGGAAATGTTCAGTACAAGAGTAATGAGAATGAAATGAAAACTTCCGCGACCCCTTTCATATATGTTTTGTTTGTTTATAGCTCTGGACTACCGTTTCTTTGTATCTGGACAATACGTGACTAAATGGAGGTATGATGATGGAGCAGAGATAGCCGATTCCTCGCTATGGTCTGTTGGTCAACCAGAACCCTCTGATGGATCCTGTGTTATGATGACGTCGACTGGCCTGTCCAGTGTGGACTGTTCTCAGCTCCTCTTCTTTATTTGTCATCACTAAGACCAGATAATCGACGGAATGCGGAGTAATAAGATTTGTAATTATAACACAGGAAGGCGAAACTTAAATCTAGACCATCATCAGTAACAACTTGAATCATTTTCCCTCTCCATTTGTAAACAAGCAAAACAGCAGGATCAGTAAATTATAAACATGATTTTTTTAATTACTGTTTTAGTAACTTTTCCAGCAAATTCGTTTCGGTTAAAAGCGATTATATACTAAAATCTATAATTTCAACTTTTTCAATGCAAAACTATTAGCCGCTATGTGTTGTTGCCTAATTGGTTAATTGATACATGTTTATCCTGTTGGTTTAGCAGAACGCATAAGCATTAAGAATTATACATTAAATGTTAAAAGTGACAATTCAGCATAATGTCCTTGCTCTTGTTGATATTACTCATTCAGTCCTATCCTTCCTTTGTTATTGAAAGAATATTTATCGGTTTAATTGGGGTTTAACATCTTGAACTATGTATTTATGAATCTCATCTTCACCTCACATCCATTAATTCATGTTGCTCGTATGATTGAATGATCTTGAGCGCAGAAATGACATTTGTATGAATAGTTGATCATTCCATAGGTCATACAAGCTGACTGTTTTATTGAAATGTGGGAACTATCAAGATTGTCTAGCTAAAACATGAATGATATAGTCGTTTATTGTTTATCATATTCAATGGTTTCGCTTGTTTACTAGGACGCCTAGTGTTGATCAGTCATTTGACTCTATTTTGCTGTCTATTAGGAAAGTAGTCTCAATATTACCTTATGTCACCTTATCATTGTACATGTTGTGTTCTGCTCGACAGGAGCTCTTGGAGACAACCTTTTAGATTGTTTAATTGCTCGCCACATTTAGAGGTACATATATCCTGACAGTACTCTGCTGATATTGTTTTCATTCAAAGTTATATCGTTACATGTATTGGTGGAGACTTCATCGTCTATATGCCTCATTTCCTTGTCATCGTCTCAAATATACAAACATTCCTGTGTGTTTTCAGGATTCTTGGTGTCTTGCATCACTGATAGGTCTTAGGGGCACGTACAATTTATTTATTTATTTTTGTTAGCGCTTCTTCTACTAAGTTCAAGTTTACAAGTGCTTTTGATATCATTTAAAAGTTTTCTTTATTACATTCCCTAACTTGTGAATTGGTTTCGCGGATTAGCGACCGTGATTATCTATATGACACACCAGTTTAATATAACCATTACTTTTTTAAATACTGCTTGTTTAAGGAATTGGTCTTTGTGATGTTTTAAGGTTGGTTGTAATTTGTACTAAAAAGACTTATTCAGAGTTGTCCATGATTGTTAGAATAGTCATTGACATCAGAGTCACCACAAAAAACTGCTTCAATACGTCACCAAAATCCATTGGAGGGTAAATAGCTTAAGGTTGTCGTTTTCCCATTTCACTGAGTTGTTTCCTCATGATACACTCCTGTGGTTAACGTAGTTGAAAGGCATGTGGTTTTGAAATTAACCTGCCCGTTCAGGTTGTTTTGGTGAATGACGAGTGCACTCTCCACAACCACAACACCAACCGACCAATGAAGGCCATTTAACAGTGAGCTAATTCTTGTATACATTTCATAACCAATGAAGAATAAATAGTGGAAAGTAAATTATGTCCTGTTTGATATAATATATATGTTTACGGGCAAGACAAAATATATAGTTTTTCAAGAGGGGACAGTTTTTAAAGGACAACTATATTCAGTCATGTATACAAGTGAACTGCTATTATATCTAACATGATACTGCTACATTTTCTTTTCAATACAATTTATGAGAGAGAAACAAATAAACAATAACTAGTCTAAATGTGAAATAAGTTTCACTAATAAAATGTAAAGTGATACTGAGAATCGTCTAATTCGGAAATTGATTCATAAACAACTTTTCTTTTAAAGCAACCTTTTTCTAGCAACCAGGCTAAATAAGATCTCGAGATCTATTTGCAAAACATCTGTACGCATGTTGAGATTATCTCCCTTTATACGTATAGTGAAATAATATACAGACCATCTTTCTCGTTGATCATCAAATATTTCAAATGAATTATGTCTATGCTACTTATTTGATTACATGGTTCATTTGCAGAATAAAAGATCATTTTATTAAAAACATATTTGGTTGATGATTTTTCAATATCCACTGCCACTCTATGCACATACGTGTAGTGGGAGGGTTTCTACTAAAGCCACTGACTAGATACAATCCTCACTTACACATGAACACTTGATGAACAACATGTTTTTTCTTTTTTAAAGATTGATTGACATTTAGTTAAAGTGAGTATAGTATGGCAAACGAACAGCACTTGCAAATACATATTCACATCACATCAACAATTTTCCATCACTAGATGTGTCAAAACAAACAGGCTAGCCCTCAAATGCGACTAATTGTTCATATTCTGAGATATATTAGAGTTCAAACCTTTTGTGATAATTACTTGTCATCGTTCATTATATATCATAAACGCTGTCATGAATTCATATCGACTTTAAGACTGGTACTGGTGATTTGTAGAAAACCTTGATTAAAACCAACGACATACTTTAAGAAAGTAGATTATTCAACTGACTCTCAAAGAACAGAAATTCGACAGACATGAGATCAAAACATCATTACAACAAATGTGATTTCATTTTTTTTCTTATTTATTTAATCTATTTTTATATCTCTATTTTTCTTCCCCGCTACCTTACTTCTAACTGCCTCTCTGAGTTGACTATTCAGCTTCCATCAAAATCCGTTTTCATACGACACAGACTGCGACGAAATAACAAACTTGATGATTTGTTTATCATGGCATGGCACTTTATTAAGTCAATGCGTATGCAGTAAGTACCCGTCGTATTGACCTCCGTTCGATCAAAATTCTATCTATAGAGATATATAGATATAAAATGTAGGCAGAATTATCATTAAATGGTGTAGCAGAATGTCATCATACAATTGATTCATGTCAATATCATGTTCCGTATGCGACACTCACAAATTGTTGATTTTTAACGCTTCACTTGAATGCTTTCATGTTTCGTCCTGTAAACCTTTACCATATGTAATGTTACTTCCAGCAGAATGCTCAGAAATGCTAAAACTAATCCCACTCCCAACAGATAGAATGCGCTTTGTATGTCAGCAAGGGAGATAACTTTAGTATAGGTCTGTAAACTCTCGGGACAAAAATCTCTCTTCGGCCAACGCCTTCGTTTCCACCAGGAGATCAAGCCGTTCTCGTGCATTGACATTATTCTGAAACAGTAATACAACACCTTAACTAAACAGGTTCATTAAGGTAAAAATAATTTACAGAAACAAAAGTGGAATACTAAATCTTATTACATGAATATGCATATGTTCAATCTTTTATTCTTCACATTTACTTGAATGCGTATCTTTTTTTAATGCTGAGCATCGGTTCTAATTAGGTTACGGAACAATTTAAGTACAAAAGTGGATATGCTATTCCACAAGGTCTATGCTTACTTGGTGCATTTTTTTGCGTAGATATTTCAGTCTGATACAACAATTAAAGTTTTTGTGAGTGACTTAATCAACCGTGGAAACTCCCTTCATATGACTTTGTTTAATATCTCTCTAACCAACTTTGTCGGAAACTAGTTATCTTACTTATGGCTGAAGAGGTCGGTTAGTGGTGATCCATTTGGTAGACCGAAACTGTACTGTACTGGTAGAACCTCTGCCGATGCAGTAAACAGAGAGCAACTGTTGACCATCTTCACCTGTATCTGACTTTTGTCCCCTATATGGACGTAGTTCCCGCGCAGAACCTTGTCAATATGAACGTCCTGGTCCATATATAACATCTGGATCCGTCTTATTAAAACGAACCATTCCCGCGTATACCGCTTTAAAAGCAGGAAGTGACGACATCTGAAACCATTTGACAAAAAATGACGAAACATTGATCAGTCTAACTGAATAATACTTTTGCTTGAATACCAAAATTCATGTTAAAGTCTATTATCAAATAACTTCATAACTTTGTAGGAAAATAAAAGAAGAAATTCAGACAAGTCTCTAGCTTTTCAATTTTCATTTTTGTTTATCAGGTAAAGCAGAGCGGTAGAATAGCCTAGTCGGTTACTTGGTATACAAACAAACAACACACGTTTATTGCAATTAGCGCTATCACCATTGAGTGTAATAATGTCATTGAAAAAAGCAAAATTACGCAAAATTTGTACGTTCACAATTTTTTTTTTAATTTATATTTTATTCATTTTCATATTTTCAAAACAAAACACATTTACACAAGACTTGGAACAAATGGAGAACATTTTGTACAACATAAAGATAGCACACTAATTACACCAACTGGCACAATAGACATGGTACATAGAGAATACATGTGTTAAAAGACAAAGGCATACTTTTGTGCCAAGGTAGATTAATAGAATAAATATTAGACAAAAGTAAATCACTCGAATACTAACTATTAACTTTAAAAATCTAACCACTGTTTGATTTGTGCTTTTAATTGAGCTTTATTTTTTAATTTACATTTAGATGAAAGAATTTGGTGTGCTTTTAACTCAACTTTAATATGACTTTTAACACTATTAAAATTAAGTTGTTGTTAAAGACATCTGGACTTATATATGTAATGTTTTATTATAAGTAGTATCAGGTTATCAATGTCAAATTTATTGTGTTTATTTACAGTTTTACCTAAAATGAATTCTTTTTTATCAAATCTTAGACCAACATTTTTAGCTATTATGTTATTTCTTAAATTTTCAATTAGATTTGACACAAGATGACAGTCCCATAATATATGAATAATAGTTTCTGGATGAAGTTTGCAAAAAGAACATAGGTTAATATCACTTTTTTCCAATTTTGAGTAAGAATGTATTTGTAACAAGGATTCTATGATTAATTCTATACTGCAGCCATTGGAGTTTGGAGTTGGATGTTGTGTTAAAAGGAGCTGAATAAATGTTGTTCCATGTATCTTCTCTCAAATTTAATAAAGTGTTCCATTTTATTTCAGAATTTTAACTAATTTTGTAAATTTCTTGTGCTCCCTTTTTGTCTTTCAAAATAAGTTTTAAGTTAATGGGAATACTAGGTAAAACAGTTCTTTTTTCTATGTCGAATAAGTTTTGGTTCACAATACATAAAAGCTAAATACTCAAAACCAGAGAATTTTCGCGTAAAGAATTGTTTCTTTTCTCCACCGGTCAGCTTCCAGTTACGACAGCAGTGTATCAACTACAAAGCACATATATACCGATGATTTATTACGACATCTAATGTGACCAACAAACACGGTACCTGGAACATGGTAACCCATACCGCGCCCCCGATCACACCCCACTTGTAAACATCCTGCTCGATCATTCCCTCTACGCTTTGAAAAGGAAGGAGATCCTTGGTGACAGTGAGAAAGGCCACTAGGTTACCAGTGTACGTTGCAATGAGCACCACACAGAAAATCCACCAACTTCCTACAAGGATCCTTGCCACATGTGTCTCTTGCAACCATCCGCCGGCTATAAAGGCAACAAGAACATATCTTAAGGTAAACAGTATTGTAATTATACTACAAAACCGATATGCAGAAATCCTTGAAAAGTACATGAAAATGATATATAACGGTATAGAAAACGTTATGTGATTCACCGTAGATAAATTCATGTAATATCGCGTTCGCAAAATTAAAAAAGAAAATCAACAGGCGATTTTCAAAGTTGACTTGACATTAGAAGCAACCTCAACAGTTCTGAAAAACGATACATTCACTTTCAACGATTAACATTTGCTAAAGATAAAAGGAATAGCAATGGGTACTAAGATGGCACAAACATACGCAACCCTTTACATTGGAATATTTAGAAACATTCCATCACAAAAATCTGAAGACATGTGAGGGACAGAATTGCGGCAGCACATTAGTAAAAACTGGCAAAGGTTTTAGATTATTGCTTCATCATATGGATTTATTAAAATTGAACAACCATCTGAATACGCTAGACCAAAACATTTTGGTTCGGGCTATCTTGGTTATTCCTTACAACTAACACAGAAGAATCAGTAAAGCTGTAAACGAGTATAACATCCGGAAGAAACGTCTCTGGGAATTAACAACTTATCTCAAGTCACTATCCAGCATGAATAACAGAGGTCGATATATAAGCACCATCAATAAACTGAACAGCAAAGCTCAATGAGGGGGGAAAAAGGGTAAACCGAAAAGCACGCGATCCACGAAGTCAGAATATCATATTAACAGTGAATCACTTCAACATTTTACTAAAGGAAGATTATCACATGTACTTGAAAGCAACTGTAAACGACAATATCAATAACACTATTATGCGAAGCAATTTTCCCAGAGAAAACAAGTTTCAAAGATTCACTTTGTGAATATCTACAAGAAGGGACTTCTCAAAAGACTTCGGGGTGAATACTACATATCAGGAATGGATAGCTCTCTAGGAGCCTGGGTTCGAGTGCACAAACAACACATTACTGTACCAGGATACGAAAACAATAGGTGAACGTTTAGATATTTGTGGACATTTCCATTCCATACAGTTTTTGTTCAGAAAAACCAATCGAAAGGAAGGAGAAAGAGAACCATTTTATAAAGATACTTAAATTCAAAATTGATATCATAAACATAAACATCTTTATCTTCAATTCCGTTGACCAATATTGGTTACGTCATATTGAGTTACAATGTATGCCAACATGAAGACCTAGTGAAGAAGCAAAAACTAATTTTTAAATCGTCTGAAAATTTGATATAAAAGCGGTTATGTTTCATTAATAAGAAGTATTTCGAATATATATATCTACCATCGTATGAAAAAAGTGGTATGATCATTCATTTGTTAATTTGCGCTGGGAACAAATCTCAACTTGTATCTTTTCCTCAGAAAAAACTTCTTGACTGAAATTGAGGTGTTCACACGTACCTAAAATTATTTAACCACTTATATTAACATGTACTACCTTGAATGTAATACTTTAAAGTATGGTGTTCGTGTTCACTTGAAACAAACAAACCAGTGACATGATTTTGAGAAGACATTATGTACCTCGTCCAATGAGTGCGCCGTACATGTGCCATATAACTTCTAAATAAGTCCACGGTTGCAGTCCCACTTTCATACGATATGGGCTTATTCTGTCAAACAGGAATGCACAGATGGACACAGCCAGCAAACACCCGCCGATAGATACTAGAAGGATCCAGTGAAACGGGTCGATGTAGGTACGCCACTTCTTTATGTTTGGATCCTCTTTAGTCATCAGGAGGATGGTAGCGTCGTAAAAGAATGGGTGAGTGAAGTCCATCACAATTTCGCGCACACTTAGAACGGTTAATGCAGTTACGACCAAATCCACCTCCTGAAAACAAAAGATCAGAATGAATTACAGAATATGGGTAATCACATAATATATACTCAAGGGATAAAGAAACGCAGGGTACACTTGCAGATGATTTAAGTCAAGACGTCGAGTATAATGTTCACTATTTTAAAGTAAGAATGAAGATTAATCCACACAGAACATACTGCAAAATCAACGATATGTATCTGGTAAGTGATTCAAGAGTACTAGAAGGAAATTGAAAGAGAACTCTGTAATCTGAAATCGAAATGGATTGATTGTTGGAATGGGATAGTCAATACCGGGTATGCCACCCAATCGCTCGCTCCACAGTCCTGATGCTCCTATGCATGAAGTTCATACGTGAGTTTATCCTCCTCATTGGGATGGTGACCAATTCTTTCAAGAGGGCTGCTCTAAGTTGGGTCAGATTAACAGGGGGAGGCTGGCGTCATCTATCCAGCAAGTTGCACAAGTGCTCAATAGGGGGATAGGTCAGGGCCGTTAGTGAGAAAGTCGCGACAGATCCTCGCTGCATAGGGCCGATCATTATCCTGCTTGAATAGGTTGTTTTTTCTGCAATAATGGGGCAACATGGGTTCGTAGGATCTCATCTCTATACCTAGCGACTGTTAAATTACCCGCTATCACAGCCAGAGGTGATTGAACTCCATGTAAGATTCCTCCTCTCGCCATAACCGATCCACCCCCAAACCCATCCGTCTCTACTACGAAGCCGTTGGCAAAACATTCACCACGACGTGGACCGTCTGCTAGAAACAGGGTGATCCGGGACTCATCAGAAAGCAAGACACTGCCTCAATGGAAACATTCTGAGAGCATGTGCCGCTACTCCAGCCATACGACGCTGGTGACTAGCAGCGGTAAGGGGCAGACCTACAAACGGGTGACTTGCCCGCACACCGACTTCCCGCAATCGCTTCCTTAGAGTTTTTGCATGGATAGGACGGTTATGAGTACCTATGGTAAAAATGGCAAATTTAGTAGCAATGAGGTGCCGAATGCGCAATGCGCGAGACAAATAAACTTGTCCTGACTTTGTGAAATCATGCGAGGACACCCAGACCTAGGTCTGCTAGCATCCCGCCCAGTTTCCCTTAGACGTCTAACAAGACGTTCTTTAGTGCAAACATGAAAACCGAAATGTCTGGCAACCTGTATTTGCCTTTGACCTTGCATAATCATCGCAATAGCCCGACCCCTCTGAACTTCCGCCAGCAGTGCCATTGTTTAATGGTATCAGAAATCAATTAAATGATATGTCTCTATGAAGACTACAAATGGTATGACGTGCAGTGTAATTCAATTTGGTGATCTTTGCACAAAGATGTATTAATGGTTTATAAATGTGGAAGCTTACAGTATTTGTTATATGTACTATAATCTAGTATAGATTTATAATGAAACAAACCATTGCCTTTTTATATATCAATATTCTCGCTTGACACTTTGATGTGCTCTACAGTCTTCTCAAAATCAATACCGGATGTAGAACGTGATGCTTGTTTGCACGCCTAAATCTATTTAAACTTTGTTTAAATGAAAAGGGAAATTCCCGACATCTTGATAAAATAGTTTCGAAGGACGCTTATACTTCCTGAACAGTAGGTCTTTTGATGGGATCGCCGTGTTAATGTTAATCTTTATTTTATACATAATTTGCCTTATTTTCATCGTATTTGTAGTTTGAATTAAGGTTTTGATAACATATCGGTTATTTTCCTATCTTGTCTTTCTGATATGTTTTATCTATCTATGCAAAACGTTATCAGAACATAAATTGAATTCATTATTAATTACGATTTATTAAGATATTAGGTACGGGTTTTTTTTTATTTATTTATTTTTTTTTTCTTTTGCGAGAAATCGCCTCATATTTTCACATTTTCAAGTACTCTTTAAAATGAAGTACTGAGGCATTCCAACCAATAGTCATGCTTACGTTCCGTTGCAGTTGTCCAATAAGTCCTGACCAATGACCTTGATCGCCTCTCACTCCCCACTCATTATCAGGTGATGTAGTCAGTCTATAACTGTTAAAGACAAGCTCTAGTTGTATTAATTTTACACATTTAAGAAATGATCTTTGGTAAGATACCATAGAACATTCTTCCTTTTATGTTTTGTTAGATCACTTCAGATTTGTATTGTATATGAAGAATATTTCTGACAAAATATTTCGCGTTAGAGGCAGTTTGCAATTCCCTTGTCTTTGTAGTAAATCATCCTGTAATATAGTTATTGTTCGCTATAGTTCTAAAGGATATGTCTGGCCGCTTAAGTTTTAAAACACATCTTTCGTTCCGATTGTTTTTAAGAAGGCTAACTACAGCAGTTGTAAAAGTGTTTATTCCATCCATTCTCAAGATAGAATAAAATATCGAAAATAAACACAGATACCTTGGACATAAGACCGAGAAATCCGTTGCCTTTGTCACGGTTTCTTATTTTTAAAGCATCATTAAGGTTCAATCACGAAATTTAAACCAGCGAATCTGTCTTTTTACAACGTATATGAATTTGTTTAATGTAATTTTACGTTTTCTCGACAGCTAAAGAAATATAAGAAGAAAAGTTTTTTAAACTATGTGAGCCATTTTAAAGCCATTTTTGAAGTGTCATAGTACGACTCGCTGGTCACTCCTTATGTCTATGAAAGGATGGCGTGAGAATGGTACCTGGTGTCCTTAATAATAGGCAAAATTATCTAGATTATTTGAGTAAAGTATTTGCAATAAAATACCAATATCATGTGTTATCATGAAAGCATGATTATTAAGTGTTACAGGATAAGACGTGTGATATCCTTGATAAAAAGGTTGCCCCCGTGCTGCTTGACTTCTTGTAACGTGGTAAACATAAAAGTTCAACATTAAATTATTAAAACAATACAGGAAACTATGCAATTAAGATGTTGACCAATGAAGATACCAACCAGTTAATGCTATAAACGTACTAAATATTTTACCACCTTATGTTCTGCTATATTACGCCATTTACCTATTCTCAAAATAGAATTTTCTCTTTGTTCGAAAGTAAAGGGAAAAAAGTTCATTGGAAGACACAGACGTACCAATCTGAGAATATTTACAAGTCAATGAAGTTGGACGTGTTTGATACTCGTTAGTTTGCATTCTGGTTCCGTTGTTATATACCTTGTCCTCATTTGAGAACATGGCATTACTTTCTTGAATTGACCAAGATTTATATGTGTTATATCGAAGAAGACGCTTATTCTTCCGGAACACCTGGTCTTGTTTTCCTTTTTTCGGAGTCTTCGCGAAAATTTTTTGTTTTGTTTATATTTTGCTCTATTAGTATGATTTTTTATATGTTGTTTTTAGTCATAATTTCATAAACTTTCTTGGACTGCATCACCTCTTACGATTATCGATTAGTTTTTGTTTGAAAAGTTTATCTTGAAAAAAAAGTAATTAGTAAGTTGTGGAAGTAGGCGTTACTGCTATCTAGAAATAATCACAGTTTGAAGGAAATGAATCATCTCTACATATAACTTTTCTCTTATCTATCAATGACGTATTTTCGGTCGCTCTAAACTCACGTGAAGTTCATGTCCACAGCTAAGTGTCGTAGAATATCGAAACACAAACCGTCATAGGAGTCGTTTCCGACGTTTTCGACAAACGGGTAAAACTGTAATGTGAAAGAAGTGATAAAATAAACATGCATTTCTTTCAGAAACATACGTAACCCAAGTAACATTTTAGGAAAAGTTTTATTTTTTCAATTATCGCCTACAGCTTACTTGTTTTGCTTACAAAAAGTTTAAGTTGTAAAGAATTACCGCTATTGATGACACCAGTAGCTGGCGGCCATTAAATCCGAAATCCTTGTTGGGAAATAATGACCCAGATAATTTGCGTTCTCCAGTGAGGTGAATCAGCCCAACACGGCGTAAGCTCCTACCATCTCTGTCCCATATCAAAGTCTCCACCGGGAACCACAGCGACGCCAGAGACACTTGGTACTTTCAAAATTAGATGATTGATTAGTTATCGTGTATAAGATATGGAGTTTTTAGTATATGTGGTTATTTAAGTATCACATTTTGAAGAATCTTTGCATTGATGTTTAAGAAATGGATTTCAATAATAATGCATCGCTTAACATATTATGAAACAAAAATGAAACTGGATCAAATGAAAATAGAATGATGACAGTTTAAGCCAGATACAACCTACTTCATACATGTTAAAAACACTTGTTTAATTTAGTACTGCTAAAAATTTATTCGACCATTTTCACCACCGAATATATAAATAATGCCTTGAATACTGTGCATATTTTGTTATTTTCCCTCAGCTTCTTAATAAAACTTAATATATTTCGACAAATTCGTGTTCTTGTGAACGTTTCAAGGTTAGGAACATTACCAGAAGAAAGACACTAAGTGTATATAATTGTGGAGGGAAAAGTTACCGTTAATATTGATCATGGTTAAATAACGTTAATTCACAAACCAAATATCTACTAAGTGGTTTACTGTTGATAGTCCAACCGATAAGCTGCTTATTATAATCCCAGGTGACCGCAACACTTCGTTATCTTCTGCAGTCGGTCGGGGCTCCTCCAGCAGATGATTTCAAGGATATTACAGAGATCAATAATCAACTCTTATTTTTAAGTTTTAAAAACCTGATTACCTTCCTAACGTCACATATTTAACATTATTACTATCTCAGCGGATGTTTAACCTAATAAACCTACCATTTCCATCTGGTCCAGGAGAATGTTTGGAAGAGTAATCATTTCATTTGAGTTCCTAAGAGTCGTTGCTTCTGATGCTGTGTGTAGGTACTGCATTATTGAAGAATGTCCCTAGTAAAATATAACCGGAATTCAGTAATATATGACCAGTGTTACTGTTACGATATTTTTGTCATGAATACATATTCGTGTGGACCAAATGTAAAAGTAATTATTAAAAAATAAATAAAATTACATATATCCTGCACACGTAGACCTGATCAACTTTTACTATATGAAAGCATATATTATATTTATTCTAACTTGACAATCGTTATTCTTTTTCAAACACACGAAGACTCATTTGATATAAACTTACTTCAGTACAGTCTATGTTGTGCTCATTTTTACTTGACACCCACAAAGGTAGTGTGACAACGGCTATGTTATTAAACGTAGAAACGTTTAGTTCCTGGTAAAATGTATCTGATGAGGCCATGGATACTACTAATATTTCTGTAAAATAGTATATCGCCTTTGATCCCTTCTTCTGAAGATCGTAAACAGCAATCTGGGAATTTATGAAAAATGACACAAATTAGACGTAATTCAGTCAGACTTCGTGAACGTCATTGAAATGTATTAAGTCGATTTCTTAGCCGAGCAGTTTGTTTTATCGCCATAATTTAATGTCTTCGTTCGCTTCTTATTCAGCTCGTCGGTAATTTAGCATTTCTGATTATCATTTGTCGTTGGAATCAAGCAAATTTCATCATTTGATGGGATATGATAGAAAGCATCACTGACTAGTTTCAGAAGAATAAAACAGTTGTATGATCAAATTTAATTCTTTATTTGGCTTGACTGTATCATTTGTATCAGTTGTAAAATCTTTAGGTTTCAGACACCCCTGTTGGACTGTGAGTTTCCGAAGTTGGTCGTAACCTGTTGACCAAGTTTAAATTTATGCCAATAGTGACACAGTTAAGAACATACAAATGAACTTGATGTTCGTCATTATGGACCTAATGCATTTCTATATTCTGACATTTCCTTCGATCACTTCATTTTCCCCAGAAGTCCCTTTGATTCAAAATGTAAGCCCTTAGCATCCCTGTTGAGTCCTAGAAGGACATCATAGATGCATCATGCATATTGATTTGTTAGTTTGCTCTATTGTATCTTATACTAAATATGTACTACAAGGTGCTATTAACTTTTTGTTATTTCTACGCGAACATATGGGGTACAAAAATCTTAATAAAACATTTGAAAATTAACGCCTGTTCAACAAGATATTATTCAAAGCATATATATCTTTCTCACCGCTTTCAAAACTTTTGAACACATGTTTTTGCACAACACGGCAATTTGGAAAGGTTCTTGTTCCCCGACTTCAGAAGATTTGTCAAATATGCGGATGAATTCCTCTTCCGATATTCTGTCACTCATATGAGTACTCCTTGCGATTAGACCGATCTTTGAAAAGGCATCAAATAAGGATCCTATGTCGTTATCTGAAGAGCACAATGCACGAAATAAGAGCAAAGAATGAGTATTTGCCTTAAATGTGATACCAGATTTGAAATCAGGAAAGAAATAAAATAAGAAATGGGAAGTTCTTCTGCAGAATCAGAAGACTGGACGATAATAATTTGACGTACACGTCAATTTAGAAGAAAAATAAATGAAGTATTCAATTCAACGTTATCATGTCCATAACGATTAAGTGCTTCTAAATAAATAAATAAGAATAAGAATTTTGTTTATTTCACTTGTAAGATTTCAATACACCAACCAAAGACAGCTTCATAAAATATGTGGATATGTTCCCACTTTTCTGCTGACACTAATGACGTCACAATGGGTGACAAGTAATTGTCGGTTGAATAAGCGTCACTTCCATTTAAGTCATGTGCCATGTCATCGATCGGTTGGTATGGACTGACGTCGCACGTTTTGTCGTAACAACCTCTCGGTGTTAGATCGCTGGTTTCTGTTGCGCTCTTGAGATATAAGGTATTCTTTTGCAAATAAAGATTCCCTCCATATTTCGGTAGGCAGATGGTTTGTCGGTTATCTGACGTCAGTAGGACACACATCCGCATATACGGGATGCCTAGTCGTTGTAGGATACCTAAAGATGGCGACATCGGTGGTGGAATACTTAATACCAGGTAGAAGTCAACGTTTTCACAGGAACGCTTAACTATAATATAAACGTATAAAATATGTGTTAGGAAATACCAGGTTGTCTAGCCTATTATTGGATGGATAATGTTTAGTATTCAATATAGTTTCCATTTTACCCCTTTTCTGGAAAGGTACATAGAACACTAGTTCATTTCATATATCAAGGTTTACAGTTTCCTCATTGAAATATTTCGGTATGAGCTCTAAGGTATTGTAAGGAATAACGCTGGGTATATAGGGATAGCGCTATATCCCTTACAGATTGAGACTCGTTTACCTTTGTATTAAATACGATGAGGTTGTTTTTTTATTTGAATATACCACAAGAGCTCTAACGTCATGATTTACCTTTGTTTTATCGAATGTATTTTGAATTAAAATTGACATAATGGTTGTTGCTTTGTCATTCCATTAACAGAATATTGTTCATTATATCAGATATAGATAGCAGAGAAAACTCAAAGACCAGCTTTCATCTTACAAAGATCTATTGAATAATCATTGCCAACCATTTATTCATTTAATAGTGATTTGCCGTGTTGATATTGTGTGTTAATTCCTATTAATAATTAAAGACCTGTACTCTCTGTTGGTTCTCTGTAAATTATTCTATTTGATCTTTTTGAACTTAAGTCAATATTGATAAACGAAAGCATTACAACTTGATACGAAATGTACCGAAAATCACTGCCGAAAATAAGTTCATATAACAGTGTGCGTGAATGATACCGTAATGCTTTCGACTACCAGCGGTCTCATCATTAATCTCAATGAAAGAGAAATATAGTTTGGTTTGGTGTCTATATTTGGTTTTTAATAGCATGTAATGTATGATTGTTCAATACGGTGAAAACGTTTCTGATAAAATTTGTCAAAAAACCTTTGAATTAATCAGTTTTACAAGAAATGAGATTTATTTTCGAATGTTCAATGTGTACAACATTTACAATCTGGTGATTTAAACCCGGTGTCTTTTGCAAGTTGGTCATTTTTGTTCATTAGAGTAATTCTAGAATGTTTGTTGAAGCATATATCTATTTTATAGTGTATCATCCGTGTATCTATACCTCCTTTATAATCAGGGTACAATACGCAATTTTAAGAATAACATATTTGAAAGTGCAAATATATATATATTTGTTGAACTAGCTCGAAATAATGGTATTACGTTCCAAAACCTTGCTTGATGTGGCAATAAAGTGACAAAATTGCTCGCTTAAGTTATAAATACGCAATGAACAGGTTATAAATATTTGCCCTTTTAAGTAATTGTTTATATCAGACAGGAAGCCGAGGAGTCCTCAAGGACTACCTGGACATCGCTTTACTTTACAGCACATAAGAGTCGAAGACAATACAGAAAGAGATAACTAATGTGGGAAAAAGTCACATACACACTGGATACCGACAAGAAGGAAGCCAAGTTCTAATAACACACTGTACTAAACAATATCACTTACTATATGTATCAAGATATCGAAAGTTAGTTGCATATACATATCCTAAAGTTTAAGATAGCTGTCAATTTTCACGAACATTGACAGAAATTCAGCAACAAATAGCTTTATCACTACACCAGGTATACATATTGTTGATATTTATACACCTAATACAGTAAATGCATGTGTATTCTCCAGTGTTAAGAACTGATATCTATAACATGTCTCTTATCATATTCCTGGAAGAGTACATAGGATCACTTAAAAATTACAATGGTCACCTCGAAGAGTAAAATATCTACCTGGAAGAGTACACTGACCAATTATAAGGATACATCTGCAAAATGTAAGAGCACATTGGCCATTTTGAAGAGTGTAATGTCTGACTTGAAGAGTACAATGTCTAAATCAAAGAGTTCATTGGCTACCTTGAAGAGTACAATGTCTAAATCAAAGAGTTCATTGGCTACCTTGAAAAGTACAATGTCTAACTTGAAGCGTGCATTGGCCAACTTTAAGAGTATATAGACTAACCTGAAGAATATGTCGACCAACTTATAAATAAGAAGATGTTGGCTAACTTGAAGTGTATATTGACCAACCTGAAGAGAACATCGGTCAGTTTGTAGAGCACATTTGGTAACTTGTAGAGAATCGGCTTTCCCTATGGCATTCCAAATTACAACTAATCGACAAATCGATAGTAAAGGGTCAGAAAATCTTTAAAAAAAAAACATCAGGATAACCCGATCCCTCTTGAGCTAAGGAAGGAAAGGTAAATTCTGAAGTTTGGTATGATGAAATCCTCTTGTTTTATAGGGAATAACTGATACTTTGATTCACAGTGTATTAGGTAGAATGTTGTTTTAGGAAGGTTGGAGTGATACTATTTTCCTTTTTGTACAATTGTAAAATATTGTTGTTTTTTCATTGTCTGAAAGTCTTTCTAGCCTTGTTTCCTAATAAAGAGAATAGTTGGTAACATGGGATGGTAAACAGTTAATGATAGGAACTGCCCCACGATTACAAATTTCTAACATCTCGCTTTCGTTAGTTATTCACAACAGTTATAAAAATATGAAAAATGAAAAAAATACATATGTTTAACAACGTTTCCCTTCCATGCATATACTTAAAGCTCTCGAATGCATTAACATTCTTCATGACAGATGTATGTATAGACAATATTTAATCTCCTCATTTATCCTCCACCATGATAACTACTCCCACATGTCTGTGACTATCAATAAAATTAAACATTTTCAATCAATGTTACAGGATAAATAGAATACATGGTCAGAGTCTTGAAATATAAGCTGTATTTTGGCGAGGGTGAAGAAAGAAAAAAGTGACGAGCCTCTAGCGATATAATTTAAGACACTGGCCATGTATTCTCCATATAATTATACATGATCTGTGATATTAGAAATAAATCAACCGTTAGTCACGATTGAACTTAAATTATCTAACCATGCTTTTGTCGATTAACATATATTTAAGGACTCAAGATCTGGGTATCGGGTAAATTGTATAGCACTACATGGAGAAGATGTGCGTAAGAGAAAAATGTCGTCTGCATAATGCCTCGTGGCAAGAAACAGAACGTCAGATATCTCATTAACATATCTCATATAACAATCTCGTTTACAAAAAAAAATAAATAAAATAAAGATTGAGCTAACTTCCTATGGAAACCCAATTTGAAATAAATGCTTGCTGTTGCCGATCCAATAAAAAATTTGTAGGAAATTCAATAACTCAAGATACTCCATATGACATTCATTTAATAATGAGCCCTATATGCCAAACACTGTCAAAACCTGTAAACCAATTCACAAAACACGAAGTAAACATGAGCTAAACATACATCATGAATGCTTTCTAGGAGTTGATATTTATAGTTGAATGATATTCCGGACTGCAACACCAAGGCGAAAATTCAAAGGTTGTGTTAGAAGAGAAATAAATGAGAAAACCCTGTTTAGGAAAGAGGAGAGAATAAAGGTTTTAGATGTAATCGCCTTTTAGGATCATCTGATCGGAAACATGGACAATATCTTAGCTACAAGGCATATTAGTGATCTGTTGACAATTCGTAGGAGATTTAGTTTAATTAAATTCGAGGGTACTATTAATCCACGAATAATTATGTCAGTTTTTAAAACTAAGTCATGAAAACAGAACATAGGAAGATGTACCCGGACGTCCATTGGTTTCACACTTAGTTAATTTGAGCATTGGTTACCATAATGGCAGAGTGCACTTCACTGTTTCCAATTGTTATAAAGCTATATCTGTCTTATAGAAAACATGAAATAATTCCGGAATATCTTAATAATTTTCGGAAGCTTTTCATAATAGGCTTTAAACTGAATAGGTTTACTCTATGATTAATCTTTAAAATCATCCATTAAATAAAAATTGATATAACAGTATAGGTCAGTGATAAAAAAGTGTCAACTTTTCCAGCGTTACATCATCCTGTCACAACATAAAAACATAGGAAACGACACTCGTACGTACTTGCTTGAGTGACGTCATATATCTCCGACGTGGCGATATGGATCCTAAGTAAGTTGAAGGTGAATGTCGTGTTGTTAACATGTATAGTTTCCGCTCGTTCATCACATCCATTTTCACGTGACGTGTTAGAACAATCCATTATCACACCTTCGTGTATATGAGAAAAAAATACACTACACTGTGGAGGCCATAGGTTGCCTACATATATGTAATGACCGAAAGAAATTATATGTCATTGACAAGGATGGCGAAAGAAAAAAATTAAATCAAATTAAAATAATTAATTTCGGTAAGAAATCTTACTTTTTTGCTCAGATGCAAATCAACTGTTAAAAACTTATCATCCAACACATCGAGCAAATGAACAAAATGTTATATAGTCATATTGTTATAATGAAAACACGATAGGGGAGTCTTACATGATCATACTGTTATAATGAAAACACGATAGGGAGTCTTACATGATTATATTGTTATAATCAAAAACACAATAGCACAGTCTTACATGATCATATTGTTAAAATAAAAAAAAAACACGATAGGGCAGTCTTACATGATCATATTGTTATAATGAAAAAAAAACACGATAGGGGAGTCTGATGTGATCATATTGTTATAGTCAAAAACACGATAGGACAGTCTTACATGATCATATTGTTATAATAAAAAAACACGATAGGGGAATCTTACATGATTATATTGTTATAATGAAAAAAACAAGATAGGGGAGTCTTATGTGATCATATTCTTATAATGAAAACACGATACTAATTCAGTCTGGGACTTCACCGTCACATCTTTCCTCTCTTATAAAGATAATCCTAGATTATGTTTCATCCAACATAAATGTCTTCTTGTCTATCAGAATACCAACATGAATTAAATAAAATTATTAGATAAAACTCACCTATGTTCACCACATATTCCATATCTTGAGAATTTGATGATGATACCAATACATACCCTCCAAATCCTATACCAAAACAAAATATCGCCAAATACCAATTTACGTCCATGCTGTGCTTGCGGTCTCGTTCACTACACTTTAGAAACCGTTAGATTGGAAGCAAACATGATTCCCTACTATATTGTTGCATATATTATGTTTATGCTAAATGTCTGTCCGGGTCGTTCTGGTATGTCTAATTAGTTAATTATTATCACCCGATAAATTGTATGTTATTGTCCAATCAGTTTGCAGTATTGAATAAACCCAGTAGTTGTCCGCACCTTGTGTTTTGTACACTCATTTCTGTAACATGTATGACCCAATCTTTACTTATATGCATGGCTAATATGTACATTCATAAATTATTTATTTATCGAAGCCAGAGGCATTCTATCTTGTTTACATTGAATGATTACAATATAAGTAATCTATAATTGTATATAGTATCACTTAGCTGATGAGTGAATATCACAAACTAAGACTCTGCCTGGTCCGATAACCAATCAACTTTCGTTCTTAATTTATATAGAATAAGTACTTATTGATATTTCAGCCGGTGATTTTATACATAATCTGTTTTACCATCAAAGCTGTCGCCTACTCAATCCAATCCAATACATTGATCGTGGATGGACGGCCACACTACAAAATAATGTATGACGGTTCGCTAATAATGATATCGTCCAAAAAAATCATTGTAAATCGCCTTACAGATTAAAGCATACCTACCGTCTCCTACTTACAAGTCATAATCAGGGATGACTTCTGTAGATGTCCAGCACACCTACTATCTCCAACCTACAAGTTATAATCCGGGATGACTTCTGTAGATGTCTAGATCACTTATTGTCTCCTACTACAAGTTATAATCAGGGATGACTTCTGTAGATGTCCAGCGCACCTACTATCTCCTACCTACAAGTTATAATCAGGGATGACTTCTGTAGATGTCCAGCACACCTACTATCTCCTACCTGCAAGATATAATCAGGGATGACTTCTGTAGATGTCCAGCCCACCTACTATCTCCTTCCTACAAGTTATAATCAGGGATGACTTCTGTAGATGTCTTGCCCACCTACTATCTCCCACCTACAAGTTATAATCAGGGATGACTTCTGTAGATGTCCAGCACACCTACTGTCTCCTACCTACAAGTTATAATCCGGGATGACTTCTGTATATATCCAGCACACCTACTGTCTCCCACCTACAAGTTATAATCAGGAATGACTTCTGTAGATGTCCAGCCCATCTACTGTGTCCTACCTACAAGTTATAATCAGGGACGACTTCTGTAGATGTCCAGCACATCTACTATCTCCTACCTACAAGTTATAATCAGGGATGACTTCTGTAGATGTCCTTACTGTCTCCTACCTACAAGTTATAATGATGACTTCTGTATATATCCAGCACACCTACTGTCTCCCACCTACAAGTTATAATCAGGAATGACTTCTGTAGATGTCCACAAGTCCTACCTACAAGTTATAATCAGGGACTTCTGATGACTTCTGTATATATGACTTCAGTCCACACCTACTGTCTCCCACCTACAAGTTATAATCAGGAATGACTTCTGTAGATGTCCAGCCCATCTACTGTCTCCCACCTACAAGTTATAATCAGGAATGACTTCTGTAGATGTCCAGCACACCTACTATCTCCCACCTACAAGTTATAATCAGGGATGACTTCTGTAGATGTCCAGCCCATCTACTGTGTCCTACCTACAAGTTATAATCAGGGACGACTTCTGTAGATGTCCAGCACACCTACTATCTCCTACCTACAAGTTATAATCAGGGATGACTTCTGTAGATGTCCAACCCACCTACTGTCTCCTACCTACAAGTTATAATCCGGGATGACTTCTGTATATATCCAGCCCACCTACTGCCTCCTACCTACAAGTTATAATCAGGAATGACTTCTGTAGATGTCCAGCACACCTACTGTCTCCTACCTACAAGTTATAATCCGGGATAACTTCTGTATATATCCAGCACACCTACTGTCTCCTCCAAGAAATAATCAGGGATGACTTCTGTAGATGTCCAGCACACCTACTATCTCCTACCTACAAGTTATAATCAGGGATGACTTCTGTAGATGTCCAGCCCACCTACTGTCTCCTACCTACAAGTTATAATCAGGGATGACTTCTGTAGATGTCCAGCACACCTACTGTCTCCTACCTACAAGTTATAATCCGGGATGACTTCTGTATATATCCAGCACACCTACTGTCTCCTACCTACAAGTTATAATACCTACAAGTTATAATCAGGGATGACTTCTGTATATGTCCAGCCCACCTACTGTCTTACCTACAAGTTATAATATGACTTCTGTATATATCCAGCACACCTACTGTCTCCCACCTACAAGTTATAATCAGGAATGACTTCTGTAGATGTCCAGCCCATCTACTGTGTCCTACCTACAAGTTATAATCCGGGATGACTTCTGTATATATCCAGCACACCTACTGTCTCCCACCTACAAGTTATAATCAGGAATGACTTCTGTAGATGTCCAGCCCATCTACTGTGTCCTACCTACAAGTTATAATCAGGGACGACTTCTGTAGATGTCCAGCACACCTACTATCTCCCACCTACAAGTTATAATCAGGGATGACTTCTGTAGATGTCCAGCCCATCTACTGTGTCCTACCTACAAGTTATAATCAGGGACGACTTCTGTCGATGGCCAGCACACCTACTATCTCCTACCTACAAGTTATAATCAGGGATGACTTCTGTAGATGTCCAACCCACCTACTGTCTCCTACCTACAAGTTATAATCAGGGATGACTTCTGTAGATGTCCAACCCACCTACTGTCTCCTACCTACAAGTTATAATCAGGGATGACTTCTGTAGATGTCCAGCCCACCTACTGTCTCCTACCTACAAGTTATAATCAGGAATGACTTCTGTAGATGTCCAGCCCACCTACTGTCTCCTACCTACAAGTTATAATCAGGGATGACTTCTGTAGATGTCCAACCCACCTACTGTCTCCTACCTACAAGTTATAATCAGGGATGACTTCTGTAGATGTCCAACCCACCTACTGTCTCCTACCTACAAGTTATAATCCGGGATGACTTCTGTATATATCCAGCCCACCTACTGCCTCCTACCTACAAGTTATAATCAGGGATGACTTCTGTAGATGTCCAACCCACCTACTGTCTCCTACCTACAAGTTATAATCAGGGATGACTTCTGTAGATGTCCAACCCACCTACTGTCTCCTACCTACAAGTTATAATCAGGGAAGACTTGTGTAGATGTCCAGCCCGCCTACTATCAAGTTCTTTACCGTTCGCTGCTGTCCTCAAGAAAGAAAATTGTATGATTTCTTCAGGAACTTTATACTTCTATTATGAAGGTATAAGGCACGATGACAACGCTAAATCCATTCTTTCCTTTGTATAAGATTTTCCCTGGTAATGCTAATGCTGATGATTCCGTTGTGAGGACAATAGTCACACAAGCTGTAGTAGGGAGATATATCCGGGTCAATCCGCAAACATGGAACCTCTACATTTGTTTCCGCATAGGTCTGAGCGGATGTCATCAAACAATAGGTACAACTAAAGCATTACTTTATTATATCAAGATCAGTATATCATTTCATTTTTATTTCGAATCTTCACGATTTCTTTTGGTATTCATTTCATCCTTATCAATTGACTGATTGTCTTATTGTTCCACTGGGGGTTTAACTACCTCTTAGGTTATTAAACTTTTAACACTCTTGGAGTTGGTGTGTTTAAGGATTCAACTGGTTCAAGAAAGCATCGGTAACTTCTACGGCAGAACTGACTCCATACTCCATACTTAACCAGATCGTTCCTAGCTTTGAAACTTGCGCACTTGTATGTTCCCAAAAGGACCGATGTTTATCCTTCGATTTCAACTCAGTATGGAACATGTGTATCGGATACAGTGTGATGACGACCACTA